ATTCTAGTTAGCCAACTACACTGTGAAGAGAATAGTATTTTTCTAGATATGTTTGATTTGAATACTATAGCCTTATTTTTTTCTAATTTGTGTTTGCTAAGTGAAAAAAAAATTTTTTTCAACATTGATATTGTGTTAATCATTAAGTGAATGACAAGGTCATAACATTCTTTTTCTATTTATTTTGGTAGTTTAAACTTTATGTAAACTGTAACATTTGATGGTTTAATTGATTTGATAATTTTTTTTTTTTTAGATTTTCTCTTTATTCTTCCTGTATCTGGGGGAAGGGGGGAGAAAAGGGGAAAAGCCACATCCAGCCTCCCAACCACCTCAGTACCTGGGGATGGGAAAGGGCCATCTAATGTCATCATCGCAGAGTCCCCAATGTGGGGCTTGCCCTGAGTGTTCTTCTCAAGTGATTTTGATAGTTCTGAAATGCTGTTGATCTTGCCGATCTGAGCAGGAGGAATCCTTCCAAAGTCCGTTGGCTGACATGGTCAACCTTAGAGTCTCCTTTCACCTAGATATTTGCTGTCAACACTTGGCTGTTGGCTGGGGTAGTTGAGCAGTTTGTTCTGCCCTCCTTCCTCTGCTGTGGTACCAGATGTTCTCTGCAGGCTCCAACAGATTGCTGTATCCTCTTATGTGCATCTGGGTATGCCATCCACTACTCCATCTAAGCTACTGAGGAGGCCCAGCTCTGACACATGCACTCCATAGTCAGACCACAGATCCTGCTTTTCTCTCCATGGTTGGAGTTCTGAGTTCAACTGTTGAGTTGGGCGGATCTTCAAAGAAACCTTGTCTGAAATGATCCCATACCTGACTCTTGTGTGTTTGCCAATACAGGGTCCAGCACATTCTGTCAACCACATCAACCTACACACATACAGGTAGTTGCAATTTCTGGGTCTTTTCTATTTTCAACCCCATCTCTTATGTAAACCAGTGGGTGCTGCAGCCCCGTGCAACCATGCCCACCACACCTGTGGCCCTCATGTACACCAGCAGGAGCTGCAGCCTAGTCCGAATGACCCCCAATAAGCTCCACTAGGCTCATCCCCAGCCCTGGTTCCTGTGCTTGCCAGTATGTGCAGCAGACTGGTCCAGTCTGTCCCACATCCCATTCAACTCTTCTATATGCCAGTGGGTGTTGAAACCTAACTCAACCCAACTGACCCCACTATCCAGCCCACACTCATAGCAATGGGTGCCACAGCTTGCCAGGCCTGCTCCCAGCTCTGGTTCTCATGCTCACCAGTGGGAGTTGCAGCCCATCAGAGAGGTGCCCACTGTTTTCCTACTAGGCTCATTCCCAGTCCTGAATCTTGCACTCTCCAGGTAGTGCTGCAGTAAACACTAACCAGCCTGTTATTACTCTGGCCTCTGCATGCACCAGTGAGTACAGTCAGTTAACCCAGCCTGGTTCTCCATTAACCCGGTACACATTCAGGCCAACAGGTGTTGTAGCCCTGCCTGACCTGTTTTGTTCCCAGTCCTAGCTCTTGCGCTCACCAGTAGGAGCAGTGACTCAGCAGAGAAGCCCTTTCAGGTCCCGCCCCCCCCCCCCCCCCCCCCCATCCCCCTTACCCTCTGGTCTCATGTGTGCTGGTGGGTGCTGCAACTCAGTCTGGCCTGCCTCACCTCAGCATTTACCAGTGGATGCTGCAGCCTGACTCAGCCCAGTCTGCCCCCCAGTTCCAGCTCTTGCTGGTGGGTCCTGCATCCTAGCCCTGCCTGTCCCCAGTCCTGGCCTTGATGTGAGCTGGCTGGTGTTGCTACCCAACCTGGCCTGCCCTGCACCCCTTCATGGTGGTTCTCAGATCTACCAAAGGGTATTATGCACCTTCCTGGCTTGTCCCCAGAGCTGTCCAACACATATGCTGGCAGGTGTTGTAACCTGACCTAGTCCGGGCTGTGCCCAGCCTTGGTTGGTGCTCACCTGCAGGGACTGCGTCCTGACAGAGGAGTTTGAGAATTTGTATTCAGTTATGTTTTTAAGGTGTCATATCTGAAAACCACTTGTTTTTACTCATGTTTTTGTAGTGATTACTTGATTTCTTGGATCTTCATCAACAATCATTTTTTGACTATTCACAGGAAACATGTGTTTAGGTTGGTTTTGGTAGATTTTGGATTATTTCCCAAATATAAGCTCTTTATTATTAAACTTTTATTCCCAAGTTTAAAGGAAAATGCATTGCTGCTCCACCTAGATATTTTTGGAGCCTCTCAGTGTTTTCATTGGTAAAGTAAATGTTTTCTTTCATCTGTAGTGTTAAAAATTTGTTCCCTCCATATTTTTTTTCCTCTTGTTTTGGGAGCGAGGAAGAGCGTTAAGCATCTTTACTATCAAATTAAATGGAAAGGAAAAAAAAATTTATGCTTCGTTATAATGTGAACATCTCAGAAAGTATTGCCCAGCCCAAGAAACAAATCCTTGTTATTCTTCCAGAAGTACCTTTCAGGTGGGCACCTCATTCCAGTTGTGGTGCTCTCACTTCCCCCATCAGCCTCACCCTGACTTTTATAGCAATTACCTGCTTACATTTTAAAACTGTTCTCAAATGATTACTCATGTCTGGCCTTGTATATGAAAGTAACTATTTGAGAAGTTCATGTGTGTTTTAGTGGGAAATGGCATTTCAGCACCTCAGTTTGGGTGCTACACTCTCAAGTTTGTCATGGCTGGGAATTATCATACGTATCTAAAGTCAGTGCTCCGGCCCTGCACTGCAGTGTAGCAGCCGAAGTCCTCACCTTGCACACATCGGGATCCCATATGGACACCAGTTCATGTCCTGGTGGTTCTGCTTCCCATCCAGCTGCCTGCTCGTGGCCTGGGAAAGCAGTCGAGGATGGCCCAAAGCCTTGGGACCCTGCACCCGTGTGGGAGGCCTGGAAGAGGCTCCTGGCTCCTGGCTTTAGATTGGCGCAGCTCTGGCCATTGTGGCTGCTTGGGGAATAAATCAGTGGATGGGAGATCTTTCTCTCTTGTCTCTCCTCTTCTCTGTATATCTGACTTTCCAGTAAATAAATAAATAAATCTTAAAATAATAATGATAAATTTAAATAAATAAGGTCGGTGCTGGAGAAGTTTGTACTGATACTTCAACACTGGATTATTTGCTTGACTTTTTTTTTTACATTGCAACTTCAAAAATTTTTTTTTAAAGATTTATTTTTTATTTTCTTTATTGGAAAGGCGGATATACAGAGAGGAGAGACAGAGAGGAAGATCTTCCTTCCGATGATTCACTCCCCAGGCGGCCGCAACGGCTGGAGCTGAGCCAGTCCAAAGCCAGGAGCCTCTTCCGGGTCTCCCACATAGGTGCAGGGTCCCAAAGCTTTGGGCCGTCTTCAACTGCTTTCCCAGGCTACAGGCAGGGAGCTGGAAGGGAAGTGGAGCTGCCGGGATTAGAACCGGCGCCCATATGGGATCCTGGGCGTGCAAGGCAAGGACCTTAACCACTTGCGCCACCGCGCCAGGCCCAATAAGTAAATCCGGTGGCACAAGTGGTTAAAGGTCCTTGCCTTGCAATCCCATATGGGCTAATCCCGGCAGCCCAGCTAGCTGTGGCCTGAAGGCAGTCGAGGACAAAAGCTTAACCTGAAGGCTCCTGGCTTCGGATTGGCATAGTATCGTTGTGCTCACTTGAGTGAATCATCGGAGTCTCTCCTCTCTGTATATCTTTCCAATGAATTTCTCTAAGCCTCCAAAGTCTTTGTTCTTTTTTTTTTTTTTTCCTGAATTGGCTTCCTTTAATTTTTTATTCCTTCCCAGATTATCTTCTGTTTTTATTTTCTATACCAGAATTACTGTTTTAGTGTGCAGATCAAATCATTTTGCTTTTCTTTTACTCAGTGTTTCTCGGTTGTTCTCTCCCATCTTTAAAAACAAGCTTTAAATTATTTTGTAAGAAATGAAAGACTTGTTAGAAACTCATTTGTCTTTTACATTCATTTTCTGATTTCTGATTTCTCCTTAATTCCAAATTACCAAAAGTTGTTTTGATATTACATCCTGGTTTGCTTTTTCAGCCTTCATGGCAGGGTTACTTTCTGTTTGAAGTTAAAGGCAACCTGATTTGTTGGTTCATTAGGAAATTAATTATAGATTTACCATAGGTTAATTTCTGATGATTTTACAAATTGTACAGCCACTTTTGTAAATGAAATTCAGTTGGAGTCTATTTTTACCTAATTATAAATTTCGTTTTATTCTATTTTTGTGGCCTTCTACCTAAGTTTAATGACCATAAAAGGTGACAATCTTATGTGTTTCTTATACTTATTCCTCAGGTTACCAAACATTGTTCATTTTAATTGGCTTTTCAACAATTTTTTCATTCAGCTGTGCAGAGCATCTGTGTGTATAGATGGAAGGTGATACTTAAATGAGTATGTCAGGTTTTCAATCTAAAGAGTAAGAAAGCATATATGTTGGACAGTTACACAGTCTACATTAACTGTGTGTCTTAAGTTCAGGCTGCTCTGACAAATGTTATCACTGACTAGATATTGTAATAAACGTTGGCTAGGAACTCTTGGATTACCTGCTAGCCGATTGAGTCTCTAACAGAACCTGCCTCTGTCACGTGACAGAGAACAGAGAGAAAATGGCAGCACTTCTGTGCCTGTTTTTAGTGACATTCATTAAGGTTTGATCTTCATAGCTTCTCTTCCTCCAGATGCCATCACATTGAATATTAGAATTTCAGCATAACAATTTGTGGGGAGATTAGCATTCAGTGCAATACAGTACAAGAGCTGGGCTGGATTAGATACTTTTATTCAAGTCATATTTCTGCCATTAGTGTTTTCTTGATTCCACTTATGCTGCTGTAGAATACCACAATCTAGGAAGTTTGTCATGAACTGAAATTTATTGGGGTCAGGTTTCTTTAGGGTGAGAATCCTACATTGGTTTCTTCTCGTCAGGTTTTGGACATCTGCCAGATTATGAGTGTGAGTATGTGTGTAAATTTTTTTTTCAGAAATGCGAGACAAAATGAGAAAATGGAGAGAAGAAAACTCACGAAATAGTGAACAAATTGTGGAAGTTGGAGAAGAATTGATTAATGAATATGCGTCTAAACTTGGAGATGACAGTAAGTTCTTTATTTCATTTAGGCTGATTGCATGCCTTATTAATGATTTATGATTGCATTTGTTTTAAAGCTATCTTTTGAGCTTTTTTGTACTTTTCACATCTGTGAATTTTTCTATGAAATTTCTGTATTTTGAAAAGATTAAAAATTGTGGGTAGTAGTAAAGTTGCTAAATGGCATTTTTTGTCAAGTTCATAAGGCTGTCAACCATTCAGCCACTCTGTTTCGTAAAGACATTCTGATCTGGTCGAAATGTATTTCATAAAGCATCTTTTACAACAGTAAAGATAAGAAATAATCAAAATTTTTACTTTAAAGGATGTTTGACTATTTTATTTCACTGACAGCCTGTGGGGATACTTTCTTTAATTGTGGAAATTACGTGATAAAATAATTTTATTTTTAAGTAATATTCTTAAAATATCAGAAGCTAGATGAATTCATTAATGTAATTTGTTCAGTGAATGTTAAATTAAATTCAGCTTGTTCCCCCCCTTTATGTGTCTAGTTTGGATCATATATGAACAGGTGATGATTGCGGCCTTAGACCATGGTCGGGATGAGTTGGCCTTGGTAGGTATTTAAATTTTATCCCATATTTAATTAGATTCATGAGTTATATATAAGAAGTTAAGTCTTAGGATGTGGTTTGGATTAAATGTTGTTTGTAACTGGCTTTGAATGCTTTTCTTAAGAGTAATTGTAACTGAATAGATAATTTGGAGTATAATATCTTAAGTCATACTTTCTTTCTAAAGTTTATTTCTTTGAAAGTCCCAGATTGATTTTATATTCACTGTTTCTTTTCCATAATGACCACAGTGACTTGAGTAGGGCCAGGCCAAAGCTAGAAGCTTCTTCTAGGTCTCCGCTGTGGGAAACACTGGCTCAAACACTTGGGCCTTCTTCCACATTTTCCCCTGGCCAGTGATAGGAAATTGGATCAGAAGTGAAGCAGCTGAGACAGGAATTACTATCCGTATGGTCCATATGGTCAGTTTTGGAGCAGCTGTAACTCAAACTGGCGCTCATGGGATATGTGTCTCACAGGCAGATAATTAGCTTGCTACACCACCACAATGGCTTCCAGAAAGTTTTAAGACAGAGTAATATGACAGCTTTTGAAGAGTTGTTAATGGATGTCCCAGTCTGCTGATTTTCTCAGTTAAGTGCATGATTGATTTTTGAAAAAGAATTATCATCACTGTAATTTCCTATTTTCCTTTTACTCCATTATTCATCAGCGATTACTTTGGGTTCATGATATTTGGTGGCACTAGTGAAGTTATTCAAGAAGATACACTGAAGACTGTATGTTATTTCATATTTATTTAGTATGTTATTTAGTATATATAAAATGTAATTACTCTGCGTGCTTTAAAAAACATTTGTTTTTTCAGTTTTGTCTTCAGGAGTTAAGAAGACAGTTCCCTGGCAGTCACAGAGTCAAGCGATTAACAGGCATGAGATTTGAAGCCATGGAAAGGTAATCAGATCTTTGGAACTCTGTGACCTACTTAAGTCATTATGGCACGTCATTAATTGACTGTACAAGGTCCTTTGCTCTTGAGCTCTCCAATTTGTTAGTTAAACTCATGGCCAAACTTGCCAGCTATTCTTAGAAAGCAGAACTTAATGTAAGAGTATAATACATTTGCTGTCTCTAACCTAATGAAATAGGATTGTGCTTTGAACTAAACTCAACTTCAAATCATGGTTCTAGCATCAACTAAGCCACAGATGGACAATTTACTTATTTTTGTTCTCTGTTTGTTACTCTTCATAAAAATATTTCCATCTTCTCAGTGTTTGTTCCCACTCATTTATGTGTAAATATACTTCAAAATGAAGCAAGTGGGAGGCGTCTTGATCCTTAGCACTAGGGAATTAGTCTTAACCTAGCAAAAGAAAAGAGGAAAGCTAATCTGTTCTCATTCAAGCATGTGTAGAGACCTGCATGGCCCATCTCATTGTTCCATTGTTAAACTCTGAAGTCTTTTTTTACATGTACAGGGAGCAGATTCAGGAGAGTATTGTAGTTGGAACGTAAGATGTGATCGGTTCTAAACATTTTATACATTTGTAGGAAATAGATTTAGGAGTTATTATAGTTGGAGTGTAAGTTGTGATGGAGTTCTTTATGGGTGAACCTGAGATACAGTACTGGTTGTGTTAAGATTTTTATGTGCTGTACTAAAGAGTTTGATTCGAAGGTCCAAGGAAAATAGAAATTTAAGGGTAATGAGTGAATTTATCTCTAAGATGACTAATAATGAGTGTGGAATGAATTGTCTCCAAAAAAAATAAAAAAACACCTTGAGAGCTATTGTACTAGTCTATACAAGAGATTAAGGTGTCTTAACTCTCTTTTTTTATGCCGCTGATTCAATCTCTGCCTCAGTTATAAGTTTATTTAGATTTTCTGTTGCCTCATGACTTAGTTTTGGTAGATGATATGAGTCCAGGAATCTATCCATTTCTTGGAAGTCTTCTGATTTGTTGGCGTATAGTTGCTTGTAGTAATTTTTGATTATTCTCTGTATGGCTGAGGTATCTGTTGTTATGTTCCCTTTTTCATCTTTGATACTATTAATTCTTATGTTCTGCTGTGCTTTTTTTTTTTGTTAGTTGAATTAGTGAGCTGTCCTGTCCTGTTTATTTTCTTGAACTTAACTCTTTTTTTGAAAGCTTGTTTACCTGAAAGTCAGAGTGACAGAGACAGAGGACAGCTCTGCTGTTCACTTGTTTATTCTCCAAATACTGGAAGCAGCTAGGGCTGGGCCAAGCAGGAGCCAGGAGCCAGGAGCCAGGAGCCTGGAACTCATTCTTGTTCTCCTATATTGGTAGCAGGGTCCAAAGACCTTGGGCCATCTGCTGCTGCTTTCCCAGATACATTGGCAGGGAACTTGATTAGAAGCAGAGTGGCCCAGACTTGAATCAGCCACAGCACTGTGGGATGCTGGTGTCGTAAGCACCTGTTGTCATACGACCTGCCCCTTGGATAAAGGTCTCTTATGGTATTACAAAAAAAAATTAAGACAAATGTGAGAAATTAAGACATGCAAAAAATGTTCATTCTCTCTCTCTCTAAAAATCTGACTTTCTGTGACAATAAATACATCTTAACAAAAATTTAAAAATAATAATAAATAAGGAGGAGGATGAAAGGGGCATGCTGAGAAGAGGGAGAGTAGGATGGGAAATATGTTCCTAAATCTGTGTTATAAAATAGGTGATGTTCGTTCGCTGCAAAAATAAATTTAAAACAGTAATTCTGTCCTGCTAAAAAGCTCTGTGTGATTTTATAGTCAGTGCCAGGCACCTAACGGTCTGATTTCTGTTTTTGGGTTTTGTATGTTTGGTAACTGCTCAGTAATGGTTCATTGCATAAATATATGTAAGTATATTTTACTGCAGTCTTTTTTAAAGGATATTTGACTTGTTTCTGCTTTCGAGCTGTTTTAAGTAAAGCTGCTGTAATTTTCTTTAACCAACCCTTTAGTTGAATCTACTTATCTTATTTTGCATTCATATTCTTAATGTTTCCTTTTTTTAAATAGATATGATGATGCTATACAGCTGTATGATCGAATTTTACAAGAAGACCCGACTAACACTGTAAGTTTGCGGATTGTATTTAAGATTATCAAAAGCTAAATTTAAAAGGAAAAACTAATTCATTCAAGAAATAATGGAAAGATACATTTGGAATGAGACTTTATTGTTTTATTTTAAGTAGTTCATGGTGAACCACATTTTGTGTTAAATAAATTTGAAACTTTCCGGTAAAATTTAACTTCTAGAAGCAGAAGCTCTCTTATTAGAAAAAAACTGGGTAGAAATTTGATAAGGTTGACTATGTATTTGTATAAAACCCTTAAAAATTTGTGATTTTGTATTATGTCAAAGCTTATGAAAATTTTCATCAAGTTTATATGTTTATGTTTTACTTGCCTTCATGAAAAATTAAGGAAATAATCTTAGTAATTAATATGTGAAATAGTGAAGGTATTCTGGCTTTGCATTTTCCACCTCATGAATAAGAAGATACTCACCTGTGTAGCTGTGAGCTCCATGTTTTCCTTGAGGTAGCCACTTGTACCCTGATTTTGAGTAAGAATGTTCTAAGTATGTCCATATAAACTCTTGTATTTTGAAAAAAAAAAATCCCATAGTGCGATCTTTTTTTTTTTAACTTGAGAACATATCAGTTTAAAATTAGTATAAAAGCTTTCCTCAGGCTTCCATTTTGTACAATGAAAATTTAGAGAAAATTTACATGTTTTAATAATTTTAATGGAGAATACCATTATTGCCATGCACACATGTGTCTGAAATAAAACAGAAATTTTTGAATTTTTAAGTAAAAGATTGAGGCTTTTGTTGTAGTTGGAAACATTGTGTATTAACACATAGTAATGACTCATGAAAAGTTTCCCTCATTTTACACCTGTTTTTCTGTTGATATGACTTGAATTTTAATTTGCTAAAGTGCTTAATACTTGAAACAATGGTAAGTTATTTTAAGTAATTATGTTAGCATGGGGATTTTTTTTAAATGTGTAATTTGTAAAGCCTGTTAATTCAGTTATTGGTCATAAATCTCTGTGATTTCCCTGTTGGTACTCTAGTGATTTTCGTGTGTTTCTTATAGTAGACATCCTACATAAATAATGAATTTCTATTTTTATTACTTATTATTATCTCATTTTAAGAGAGTTTTCTCTGCAAGTTTTTAGGTTCTTATTTTCAAAGAATTCTTGCAATACAGAAAATCCAAGGGAAAGTTTTGGCAGGTGAAAGTCTACCTGTTATAAAAAATTCTTCTGTTTGTCTGACTTTACTAGAAATAAAATTTAAAAGTTGTTGCAAAATTATGTAGTCGTAAGTACCAAAGATATTAGTGAAAAAGAATTCTCATGAAATGCACCACTTTCTTTTCATCAAAGTGCTCCCATGCACTCTTTCAAACGTTAAGAGTGTAAGGTTTCCAAAATACTCATTTGCTGCTTAACCATGTATTGGCAAAAAGGTCAGGATTATAAATAGCTTTTGTTTTGTTGAGCTATTACTAAAAATTAAATGCTAATAATTTAGTTTTTGTTTTGCTTTTTGCTTCTGTCTCACAGTAAGTAGGGTATGTGCTTAGTAAGTTCATTCCACTTCAGGGTGTATAATAACACATAGTTAAATATTGTTCTCTAACTTCCTCATTTGTGACTGTTGTAACTTTAGAGACCAGAGAATGGGATTCATGTGGTCATAATACTCCTTAAGTACAGTAGTTCTCATTACTGTGGATGCAATTTCAGAACTGAGACTGAATTCGGAATACCTCCATATTGTTAGTTCACAGTACTAGTCAGGGCAAAAATTGAATTATTTGAGTTGGTGAAGCAGAAAATCTACTCTTTAGGAGGGCAGAGTACAGATATCATTAAGAGTTGATATGATTTAAAAATTTTGATCTAAAAATGTAGCATGATCATTTTAAAGAGTTTACATGATCTAAATACATTTTCTATTCTTTAGAATAACACTTTAGCTTTCTACAAAGCAAAGGTTGTGATATGAGGAAAGAGGTGGAAAAAAAGGTAATAAATTGAAAATTATGATGGTAAAAAGTAACATTTATAAACCATCACTGAACCAAAGCATTTTATATGTGTCATCTTGTTATGCATCACCACATTTTTTTCTAGATACTATCTTTATGGGCAAACAGAATCATGAAGAATCTGAGGGATTTACCCAAAATTATGTCACTATTAAGTAGGCAGCTCTGAATAGGAGGCTTAGTGTATTTCATAGCTTAGGGCTGTTAATCATGAATAAAGATACAGTTGTAACGAATGGAATTCAGACTAGGTAGTGTGAAATACATGACAATTAGTTGTTGCACTTCCAGAAATTTCATCATTTTACTAATCTTTCCATTGTCAGTTTCTCATTTTTACTTATTTCTTTAAATCTTCTAAATATATTTTCTATTTACGAAATACTGTACAGGGGGAGCTTTGATAAACAAATTGGGCTTTATTACAGGCTTTTTGTGTGTGTGTGTTTTGGGTGAAGTTCAACAGCCAAAAGAAACCTTTTTGGATCTTATGATGATTATTTGGTTACAAGTTCAAAGTTAAAGTTTAACGTAACTTTTGGAAGATAGGGTGCTTCTGATTATTCACAGTCTGTTCTGTATGTAAATAAGAAATTGATAACTGAATAGGAAATGTCCAGAAAGCAAAAGACCGGCAGGAAGGGAAACGGTTTTCAAGTCCTAGAATTTGCTGTGTTGCCTAAACTGATTCTGTGTGTGTTGAAGAGATGTAATTATCACTCTCTGCTGCTCAGATCCTTCCCAGCCGTACAGCTCATGCCTATAAGTACATTTCAAAAAGTTAATGGAAAAAGAATTGCAATAAATATGTTTTAGTGCAGAAAATTTTGAAGCTCAACTATAGCTTTCTTCTTTAAAGATTTATTTTGGGCCCAGCACGGAAGCATAGCAGCTGAAGTCCTCGCCTTCCAAACGCCAGATCCCATATGGGTGCCGGTTCTAATCCCAGCAGGCCAACTTCCCATCCAGCTCCCTGCCTGTGGCCTAGGAAAGCAGTAGAGGACGGCCCAAAGCCTTGGGACCCTGCATCCACGTGGGAGACCCAGAAGAGGCTCTGGTCTCCTGGCTTCAGATCAGCTCAGCTGTGGCTGTTGGCACCCACATAGGGGATGAACTATGGATGGAAAATCTTCCCCTCTGTCTCTCCTCTTCTCTGTATATCTAACTTTCCAATACAAATAAATTCATTTTTTTTAATGATTGATTTTTATTTTTATTGGAAAGGCGGATGTACAGAGAGGAGAAACAGAGAGGAAGATCTTCCGTCTGATGATTCACTCCCCAAGTGAGCGCAATGGCCGATGCTATGCCGGTCCGAAGCCAGGAGCCTCTTCCGGGTCTCCCAAACAGGTGCAGGGTCCCAAAGCTTTGGGCCATCCTCGACTGCTTTCCCAGGCCACAGGCAGGGAGCTGGATGGGAAGCGGGGCTGCTGGGATTAGAACCAGTGCCCATATGGGATCCTGGGCGTGCAAGGTGAGGACCTTAACCACTGTGCCACCGTGCCGGGCCCAATACAAATAAATCTTAAAAATATATATATTTATTTTGTTTATTTGAAAGGCAGAGTTAGAAGTATCTACTGATTTTACTTTCCAAATAGCTGCATTGGCCAGGGATGAGCCAGGCCCAAACCAGAAGGTACAGCCTCCGCTAGGTTTCTACACTGGTGCGGGAGCCTACTGCTTTCCTTAGCTGCTGCTCCCTTAAAAGGGCGGCAGGCAGCGCTCCAGCTGGCACTCAGTGGGACACTAGTAGTATTGCCATTGGCTTAACCCACTGCATCACTGTGCTGCTCCCAAACATAGTTTTTTCATAATATGCATTTTCTATGAAGTTTTGAAGATCTCTTACACATTTTTACCTTCAGGTTTTTTTTTTAATCTAGATGAATTTATATTTTTACTACATTTTTTATAAACTTGTTGAAATATGCTTACACTTCAGTGTCCAATACTGTCCTGTGAGAGTATACAGAAACTGAGAGATCTTCCCATCTTTGTCTTAACTCATTGAGCCAGTGACTTTGCATTATAGTTGTATATGTAATGTAAGATGTATTAGATATTTCAGCCAGCAGCTTGGACTCTGCCCCTGTCTCCAAACTGAATGCCCGGTGCTTTCGCAGGCACATTAGGAGGAAGCTGGATTGAAAAAATGGAGTGGCAGGGACTCTAGCCTGGTGCCAATAAAGGATGCTGACAGCTTAGATGGCAGCTTAACCTAGTGCACCACCATACCTGCCCCTGCTTTTAAGATTTTAAATGATGTATATTGGAATTGATTGCATTTATATTAAGTGCTTTTTATAACAGACGTTTCAACTCCAAGTATTCAAATTACAAATATAGGACAGTTGCTAAGAAATAGCAACTTGTAAATATTGATCCACACCAGAAATACAGAAAAGATTATGGAAACACTAACTTTTTTTTAAACAGGAGATAAAGCATGAGGGGAGTGCAAAATGAAAGTTTATAAATATTCATGACTTAACCTTCGTTCCGCCTATTCCTGTTTTTAACTAATTTGACATATAACTGACATAGTATAAAGTGAATGTATGTAAGATATTTAGTTTAAGTTTTGATCTTTGTATGTACCTTTGAAACTGCCATGAACAAGATAGTAAACAAAAGCCATCATCCTCAAAAGTTCTTGGCTCCCGTTTGTTTTTGAATTCTTTGCCTACAACTATTCTTGTGCTCTCTGCAGTGACACAGTTAAGGTCCTTAGGATTACAACATTGTTTAGACTAAGGCCGATTATTCCTCTTCCCTGAGGCCATTTTTTCCCTGGGTTCTTTATTCAGCTCACCCTAATAGAATACTTTCAGTCTGAGTGGTGGAAGAGGTGCTATTCAGTCCCATGTGAGTGCTTGGCACTCTTACTGCTAATCTTTTTGTTGATTCCTTCCTTGTCCTTGGGTAGTTTGCTATAGCGTGCAGTGTACTGGTGAGCCCAGAGCCGAGCACTCAAGGGGGAATCTGTCAAGCTGCACAG